TTCCCTCCCTGCTCTCTCTCGTCAAAGAAGGCAAGACAAGGTTGCTGAAGAGCCATGCAAGGATTTGGTATTTACGAAAAAATAAGGAAGTTAAACTGTTGGGCAAAATTTGTCAGAAGATGGACCAGCCAGGGGCATGCTGGTTAGGGGACCTGGACCCACCGGCCGACAGCGCAGTGAGCTCCAGACCCAGCACACACGTGTGCCCCGATCCTGAGAGGAGAGCGAGGGAGAGGACTGTGTCCGGCCCTCCCCGAGGGTGCTCTCTCCCTTTCCTTGTCCCTGTCCCTCTCTGTCCTCGTCTGTTGTTGGTGAGCGCCTGCACTGTACAGCAAAGATGAAAGAAGAAACAGAAGACACGTTACACAAAAGCAAAGCTGCAAACCTAACTACACTAACTGCAGAAATAGCCTACCTCCCTAAGTCCTGAAAAAATAAGAACTCACAATAAAGTAAACTAAGCGCCTCACATGACAGGAAGTGAGGAGGACGTTCACCGTGCTGGGGCTACTCACTCCCCGAGGGCCTGCCAGCTGCACCCCGAGGGCCGAACGGCCCGCTCCTCCGTAATCCCTCACGGCACTCAGAAAGTTCGGGGACAGCGCGTTACCACGGGCAGCCACCCCACCTCCTAGAGGGACAGCGCAGTTGGAGAGGTGCAGACACGCAGAGGCAGACAGCCACTGCAGGTCGTTCGCGCTCCGTGAATGACGAATCCCACGCGGGACAGCAGCGCCACGGGCGGTGGTGGAGCAGGGGAACATGCTGTGGACTCTAAAACGAGTCCACGGTCCCCGAGGCGAATGGTCCTGGAGGCCCTCGGCAAACAGCACCGACACCATAGGGTAGCCAGGACTGACAAAGCCCGCGGGACTGCCGAGCCGGGCCTCTATCCTGGGCGAGTGCGGGGTTTGATGGAAACGGACACAGCGTGCGCTCTGTGGGATCAGGCGAGAGCCGGGGCTGCAGAGCTCAGCCGGGGCTGCAGAGCTCGGCCACTGCCCTTCTGCCCCGACTTCCTGGCCGTCGGGACCGAGCCAGCCCCAGCCACGGAAGCACAGGTGAACACCTCCCCACGTTCCAGCTAGAGCCGCGCCACTGAGAAGTCAGGGAGGGCTCGCACGGAGACGGCCGTTTCTTGGAAATAGTGACAAGGCGTTCGAGGCTGCTGTATTGAACTTACAGTGGATTGTTCTAACATTGTAAATCACTGGGCATCTGAAATTTTGCGTCTAGTTTATTTTCACATATAAAAGTTTGAAAATAAAAAATTCTTGAAAAAGAACCAGATGAACAAATGAGATAAGTAACAGCTCAAGACTTTCCTGGTAAACTAAAGAATGTCATTGGCAGAGACAAGTCGTATCCCAGGCCTAGTTTTTGTGGGCTTAAAATATTTTATAAAGTAGAGCAACTTTTTTTTTTTTAATTAAAAGTTGGTTATCAAGCACTTTGTAGATGGCCAAAAAAAAATTTATTTTTTTACTGTAGTGTGTGTGTGCACTTGACAGAGAGAGAGAGAAGGAAAGTGAGAAATTGCTCCGGGGGGATGGCCATGCCACAATACCTTCTTGTCCACTCTCTCAGGATTTTGGGCGCGTGCACGCACACGCACACGCACGCACACACACACACACACTCACACGTGCCCTGGCCTGCATGATTTCTAAGTCCCCAGGTCTGGGACTCAAACTACAGTCGGCCAGGTGGGATCGGCGCCTTCACCCACACACTGCCTGCTGCCCGGTGGGGGCCATACTTTCATATTTACAACGCCTCGTACATGACTAGTAAGAAATTGGCCATCAATTTAACGGCACCCGAGGGAAAAGAAGAGCAGTGAGATTGGTCTGAAGGGAACATGAATCAAATCTTTTCTGGGGGGTGAGCATGGAGAGCGTGTCTATCGACGAGAAGCAACGAGGGCTCCCGCCCGCCGACGGTGAAGCGGGGATGGCGTGATGGCAGTGGCCAGAGCCGGCGCCGTGCCCGATACTCACAGGTGATCCCGACCTTGTAGAGCTCCCGGAACCTCTGGTTGTAGCCCTCCCCGGGGACGTAGTCCCCCAAGCCGATGGTGCTCAGGGAGATGAAGCAGAAGTAGAAGGACTCCAGGAAGTTCCAGTCGTCCTCCAGGACAGAGAAGATGGCGGCCGGGACGAGGAAGAAGCAGGACACGGTGACGAAGCCCAGCAGGACAGCGTGGACGACGGCCACCACCTGCTTGGAGAAGCCCCAGCGGATGTGGAAGTAGAGGACGGGCCTGCGGGTGACGTGCACGGTGACACGCTGGACCACGGCCGTCAGGAACAGGAGGGTGAAGGGGATGCCGATGACGGAGTAGACGATGCAGAAGGCCTTGCCGCCGTCGGACAAGGGCACGGTGTGGCCATAGCCTGCAGGGGAAGCTGCGCGTTAGAGCCAGGGAGGCGGGCAGGTGACCCAAAGTACCCGTGTCTGCCACCCCGTCCCCAGACCCAGCCGGACGTGGGGAGCTCAGGCCTGCCCCTCCAAGGGCTCGAGCACGGTGGATGTCATAAACGTGGGACCGCCTCTGTCCAGCCTGCCCCCTTCTCCCAGGCAGCACTGTCTGGTCTTAATCACTCTCAGGCTGAAAAAGGAAGAAGGTCCGAGCACTCAGACCGGCAGGAAATCTCATCGCGTGCTTCATTCACCAGGAGGACCTCTCCTCCCACCAAGGACCCCCATTAGTATCTAAACACCGTCTACACTGCCCTTCAACAAACGACCCACGGAGCGTTCACCAGGAGTGACTGTCATCACAGGTGTGTGGACAGAACCAGGTCAGAGCACCAGGTGGGGAGCCACGCAGACAAAGCCATCGGCAACGACGGAGAGGAATGAAGAGCAAAGCCCAAGTTCCGGGATCGAGCATTTCTCATAAAATGTCTCACTTAAGTGCTTGGCTAAATGGCTCATTCGAAGCCTTGTCATTTCCCTGCGTTCGCAGATGCCATAGCTGACACCGACATTAAGAATATTAGGAGGGACCAGCAGTTGGTACAAAGGCTACGTTGCTGGACTCCCATGTAGTCGACTGCGGTTTGAGTCCCGGACCCGGTGGCTTACATTCATGCTGGGCACATGTGCATGCGTGCCCAAGATCCTGAGAGGAGAATGGAGGAGGAGGGATTATGAGGTGGCATCCCCCTGGGGGGTGATTTCTCACTTTCTATCTGTCTCTTTCTGTCTTTCTGGTGGGCACACATGCCCTACAGCAAATCCCCCCCACCCCCAGAAAAAAAAGAAAGAATATTAAGACCATGAGGACCAGTTCACACAACGCTTCACTTCCCACCAGGCTTGAGTCATTCTCAGACGAGCTCTGCTGCCAGTGCCAGCGCGAGGGCACAGCTGGGTAGGAGCCTTGCGGGCTGCCTCGAAGTCTCAGGGCACCTCATCCTGAAAGGGCTGCCATGTCTGGACAAGTGAGTTCAGGAAAAAGCCAACCGAATGCAGATTTTATGAAAGCAGATTTTGAGAAAGAACTTACGTATGTGATCAAAATCTGATCTCTAAAATCCATCTTGCTTTGGGCTGGCTGCATGCTCTAGTGGTTAAGGGAGCTGGGTCCCACATGGTCGGTGGCAGTTCAAATTCTAGCCCTGTGAGGTGCAGGTGCACATGTGACCCACATCTGGGTAACGAGACGGCAGAATGGAAGAGAAGGGATTGCAGTGCGACCACGTTCCCCTGTGGGGTGCTTCCTCCCTCTCGCTCTTCCTCTCTCTCTTGGTTAGCACATGTGCCCCCCAGTTATACATATGTATATATATGTGTGTATACATATATAATACACACACACACACACACACACACACACACGAAACGTGTATTCCAAAACGCCTCCAATTGGAGATCCACTTAGTACCTATGGCCCAGGAAGCAGGCTAATGCAAAGCTCCCCAGTTATTGTCGTCTACACCTCAACACAAGAGACTCAGGGATCTTAGTAAACGGCTGCAGAAAGGTGCAGTGTGTGAGTGAGCTACAGCCAGTCCCAGCAGCCCTCTCCAACTGCAGGGAAGCTGTCCTCTCACCCACACACACACGCACCCATGTCTTCCCGTGGAGATTCCAGAGCCCAGGTTCTCGGGGGTGGGGTCCCCAAATGGTCAAGAACCAGTTTTCTCAGCCTCAGTTCCTGACCCCTCCAGTCCTCACACACCTTGCGGTGCCATGGCTAACAGGGGATGTGGTGTGGAGAGAGAAACTCGCAGGTGGGAGAATCTAGGCCGTAAGGCAGAGGACGTGAAAGTGGCCAAACCTGCTCGTGCAGTGGAGGCAGATGTGAAAGTTCCGCATGGGGAGAAAACGTGATGGAACAGCCTTGGGTAGATGCCCGGAGCCCCACGGCTGGTCTGGTCGGGGCTGTAGAAAGGCCCCAGAGCAGGGTGTGTGATGATCAGAGAGCGCTGGGCCGGGATCTGAAAGTGAAACCAAGCTTATCCATGACTAAGCCAGCCAGGACTCCACAGGCTGAGCTCCAAGCCCGGGCCTGGAAGGTCTAGAACACAATGGCGCCCCCAGGCGAGGGCGGGGCAGAGATCTGCAGGAGGACGGACACAGACGGACATGGAGGGGCCCAGCTGGGAAACAAGGTCTGCTGAGCCAGCTGGGCTAACAAAGCCTTTGTCGTGGTCTTCCTCTTCTTTGGTAGCATTTTTACAAATCTACTTCACTAAAAAGGTGACAAACCTATTTACACCCATATCCCGCATCTGTATCACACGAATCTGGTCCCAGTAAGTCACACGACTTAGGTACCACTAGGGAGAAAACATAAACACACTTCTAGGTTCAAAATACCATAGGAGATGAATTTTCTCTGAAATGGTGATAGCTTTTACTCGAATATTAACTAAACTTCATTTATAAAATGTTCTCTGCAAGCACAAAAAATAACCAAGACAAGACCAAGTTCTCTCTGCCATCTCATGGCTGACCAGTGCCCACAGTCCCACTAAGAGATGAAAAATCTCCAACATGTGGTTCCTTACTGAAAGCCATTTTCTTCCGCTGATGTTTACAGAAATAACTTTCGTTAACAGGAAGTAAAGGTAAAGCCTGCATCTCATCTGTGTTCTCGATGCTCTTAGTGTGGGCGTGTTGGGAAAATCATCCACAGCAAACTCTCTGCAACAGAAGCTCAATGCACCGGATGGAAACCTGAATTTTAATGATGTGCTGAATAATTTACTCAAGTTCAGTAAAGTGACCACCCAGAGAAGGCATGAAGCAAAGCTCCTATTTTTAAATCTTATGATCATATTAAAATCCATTACAAATCATGAAGAATTCTGCAAAAAGTTTACAAGCCTGGTGTATTTGAGGTCTCTATATTTTTTCTAAGGCTATTCATACCATTTGGAAGCTGCAAAGATTTCATATTCACAGTCTACTGACGAACCTGATTTGAAGCTTAGGAAGGCCCTGAGCTGAAATGCCCATGTACGAGTGTCCTAGCATCCAGCCTCCTGCCCCACGCCTGCTGGCTTCCCGATGACTGCACCTGAGGAGTCATCCCACTGAGGACAATCCATAAAATCGGTCTTCCCGACTGACCACCCTACCACAGCCCTGTAACCATGCGAGCTGGTGCTCAGAGTGGTGCTCTTCCATGCCTGGTACAGCTGCCTGGGTTCTCTGTATTCAGACATGCTTGAGTGAGATCCGAGACAGAGAACTTTGTGGGCTCCTGGTTCGTACTTCAGAGCACGTCACTGACCCGCTTCACATGTACCAAAAGCCTGCCCCTGTATGTGTGATCAACATCCTCATTATTTACACCATTTAGATGACGTGGAGTGGCCTTCCCCCGGGAGGTGCTTTCCCACTTCGCCTCTTTCTTTCTTTGTCTCCCTCTGGTGAGCACATAAGCCCTATGGCAAATTTTTACAAAGAATAAAAAAATAAAGAAAGAAGAAGAAGGAAAAAAGAAGTCTCAGCTCGTTAAAGATACCTGTATTGAAATGAGTTGCAGCGTTTGATCCTCTGCAAAGTAGACTGCTCGGCAACGCCGGACTTTAATGGTTAGCTCTCTCCCACTGAGCTGTGTCTCCAAGGGAAGAGAGCCATGTCCTCCTCTACTTCGCTGCTCCTCTCCCACTGAGCTGTGTCTCCCAGGGAAGAGAGCCATGTCCTCCTCTACTTCGCTGCTCCCCAGGCTCCCCGACCACAGTGGCAGCAGTCACACTGGTGCGTAAGTGACTCCAAGTTCTAGTGGGCCAGAAACTTGCTGTGTGGACCTAACAGGCTTCCTGTCAGGGTGACCTTTCTTGCTACTGTAATCTTGTCCTTTGCTTGAAGTAAGTTTTTGTTCCACATTTTCAATAAATAGCTACGTTCTAGATACCCTGAATAAAACAGGTCTTCATACCTCCCTTTTTCAACGACAATATTTCTCCTGGGTAAACTTTGTTCATCCCTCTCATCCATCATCCACACGACAGTGGCCATTAGCCTGTTTCTTTGCTCACACAAGAAGTTTGTTTATCAGCAGGTAAGACTCCAGGGAAGCCTGGGGACCAGCAGTTAGCATAATGGCTATGTCGCTGGACTCCCACGTAGTAGACCACGGTTCGAGTCCCGGACCCGGTGGCTTAAACTCACGCCGGGTGCGTGTGCGTGCATGCCCAAGATCCCGAGAGGAGAATGGAGGAGAAGGGATTGCAGCGTGGCCATCCCCCCAGGGGGTGATTTCTCGCTTTCTATCTCTCTGTCTCTCTCTGTCTGTCTGGCGAGCGCACACGCTCTATAGCAAAAACCTCTCAAAAAAAAAAAAAAAAAAAAGACTCCAGGGAAGCCTAACCTAGACGGAGACATGCTGCAATGGAAAGGGGACTACAGTCCATACACGAGGCCAAGGAGCCCCAGATGGTGAAGAGGTGGCGGAGAGAAGTCACAGGAGGCACTGTGGTGCGTGATTTCCTAGCATCCTTTCCACTGTCCTCTCCATTTAACATTTTTCTAAACACTTCTTGCTTCCACTCAGTCACAGATAGCTTACTATTAACATCCAGATTGAGAGACGATGGTACTCCTGGTTGGGACGCTGCATGGATTTGCACCTGAGTGACCAACCACAGTGTACTGCAGCTACACACCGCACAATCCAGCAAATGCTTCAACACCACAGGTATGCATTTTGTTCTTGTTACAATGAAATTTCTAACTAAAAACTGCAGCGTAGTGAAAGAACACTTAGAAATAATAACTTAGGCCAGGTATTCTCACATGCAGCCATCAGTGTGAGGAGAGAAAAGTTCTAGAAAGGAAGAAGATGAGCTCCAAACAGCCGACAAAAACAGCCATCACTCGCATCACTTGCTGCTTGCTGTGTGGGTGTGTCGCAGTGAGACGCAGGACTGCGAGT